CCATGAATTTGCAGGCTGCTTTTCTTAATTGCTTTTTGTCCTGAGTGTGAAGAGAAAGTGGAGTTTTCTGTGTGGCGTGGGAGCTGCAGGTGGCTGTGATGGTGATCACTGTATGCTCACGAAGTCATCTCTCAGGGTGGATATAATTCCGTTTCTCAAATACCCTTCAGTTGTCTAAAATAACCACCCCTCTGAGAGGAATCTTGGTCTTCCTATTAAGCTCCTGAGATGCTGTCACTGCTTATGAATCATATCCTGCTTGATGGCGTGGTTCTCCGAGAGACTTAATGAGAAGCTTGGCCACATAACGTGAGCTAACTGTGTCATCTCCTTCCTACAGCCTCCCAGGTCAGCAGCCACCTCTGGCTCTCTTGTCACAGTTCTCTGATGGGGGTAGGGGGACCGTCACGGGTTTTATGTGCTCGCCATGTTTACACAGGTCACCTGTGTGCTGGCTACTGGCAGTGGGCTGAGTGCCTGCAGCGTAGCTGCTCTTGTCTGTCCCGTGTGCTGCGTGTCATGCCTGAGCTGGGGGCTCTTCTCTGCTGTGCTGAGGGAACACTGGCTTTGGGACGTGTTCTAGAGTGGCATGACATGGGTCCAGTGGCCAAGTTGAAGAAGTTGTGACCAACGTGTGTGGGGAAAGAGGTTCGTGTCGGGCCTGGTCTTTAAACATGGCTTTTTCAGTGTTAAGTCCAAACAGTCCCCCACGTTAGGGGATGCTCATTAGATGGTGGCTGGTTTAAAGGAGACTGCATCAGCCTTACAACTAGTCAGCCTTCAGTCTGGACCAGGCTTGCCTTTGAAAACCAGAGCAGCTAAGCAGTAGGTGTGCTCAGTTCATAGTGCAGTATCCCAAATTTTGCATATTTTTCCCCAAAGCCAAGAGCTGTGTCTGTCTCCTCACCATGTTTGCGCAGGGAAGGAGGTGTGTACTGGCGGTCCCACCTTCTTTTTTTTGTTGTTTAATCCTCTTGACCCAGACACTCAGATTAAGAGCCACAGACTCATCAAAGACACTGTTAAACACTGTCTCAGTCTCATGGGCTGTGCACGTAGCAGATGAGCATGTTAAATGCAGGTCCTGCAGCTGGGGGAGGCTTAGACTGCAGCCCATGGCTGGGGCTGGTTTGCTCATCTGAGGTCAGCTCTCGTTTTAGAAGCAAGTCAGAACACCTCTGTTGTCTGTCTTGGGTGTGGATTACAGTCTGCCTCTCTGCTGCTGTTGGGGGGGCACACCCTCAGAGTCCTGCCACAGCTCCATGTCATCTCAGAGGTCTGCACAGCCCCTTGTTGAGCTCTTCCTTTCCCGTGGTTGCTTTTCCCCAGGTTTAGATGAGGCGAAGCTCCGTGTCCTTGCCTGGGCTCCCAGCTAGGCCACGACACAAAGGCCATTACTTGAGAACAGTGGCACATCACGTGGCAAGGTAGTGTACTTTATCTCTTCCACGGAATACGGATGATTAAACTTTTGCTGGCCATTTAGAAAGCAACGGGGCTATGAGGCAGAACCTGGGGAGGGTGTGTGGCATCACCTTTTCCACCTCCCAGTGTGATGTGGGCATCTTGTGCTGGTCCTCTGCATTGGCTCTGAAATTCACAGGGGAGTATTTGGGGTCTTTTAAAAAATAAAAAATAAAACAAGGTCTTTCTCCTAATGAGGTTGGAAAGAATCTTAGCAACCATTAGTTCATCTGGCCTCAGTCTACTGTAGGATAGTAGAGATGCTATCTCAAATGGCTTGGTGATTCCCTGGGTATCCGTCGGTCACTGTGATGTCTGCCATCACTTCAGTGGAGTCAAAGGTTGAGTAAATTTGTGTAGAACTGACACTGCAGGGTGCAGGCTCACTGGGTTTGGGGAGAATGGCCACCTGGCTTTGTAATCTTCACCTCCACCCCCTGCCACATGGGAGCCAATCTGCAGTTCTGACCTAGCCAGGGCCCCACTTGACAGGCTGGAGGGTGATCTGAACAGCCGGGGCTTGTTAACTGAGATGGGAAGCCTCAGCAGTGTCTAGGAGATTGAAGCAACTTGAAGGATGGTGAAAAGTAAGAAGCACGTAGGCACATCTTCTTTTGTTCCAACAGTAGGTTTAGTCAGCCTTAGGAGGGACTGTGCAGCTGACGTTTGCTCGCCTCTCCCGCGGGGGTCAGGCTTTCGGGTGCCCTTTAGACTCTGGCTTCCCAACTGGCATTCGTGGGTGGGTCCCCTGATCTTTCTCCGAAGGACTTGCTGTGTAACAGGATTTCTTTCTCTTTCTCTCTCAGTTTTCTGTGAGTGATAAAAGTGCATGGGGTAACCCCCTTCCTGCTGGGCTTAGTATGCCCATTTGTAAGGTGAGGGGTTGGACCAGAGCAGTGGGGATGCCTGGTAAAGTGCAGTGGTGCGTCAGTAGGGAGGTTGCTGCTGGCATGTCACGGGCAGAGGTCAGGCCTGCTGTGTCATAGCCTGTAGCACCCAGGATGACCCATGGCAAAAAGTGGCCCAGTCTCAGATGCCAGCAGTGCCGAGGTGTGGAAACCCTGGATAGACGACCTCTAAGTGCCTTTTCAGATGTCATTCTGTGATTCCAATTTGTAAATGCCCTTGACCGAAAAGAGAGGCTCTGTGTCTTGTGGCAGTGCCACCTTCGATGACCGTAGTTGCCTGCCAAGGCACCGGAGGAAATCACAGTGGCAGAGTGTTAGGGCTGCTGCCCTATGGGGTCGGCACCAGAGAGCCCAGTGCTATGTCATGCATCTCTGGGACTGATACTTGGATTGTCACATGTGTCCAGACTCATGGGGTAGCACTCGGGAGCAA